TGACGGTATGCTTGTCACATTATGAACTTAAGAGTTCTAACAGTAAAAAAAAAAAAAAAACTGACTCTCAAGATGGCATTCTAAAAGTTAATTTTAAATTAATTTTGAATTTTTCGTCTGACATTCTATCCCTCCATTGTAGTGTGAAAATTGTTCCAGGTAGATGAGACCAGATGAGTTGTTGACCTCCCTCCTTAAATGTTTTTATAAGTGACTGGTCTCTTGGTCTTAGAGATCTTCGTGGTATATACATTTGAGTGAGGTTTGTTTAATTATACGAAGGTATTGTTAACACATTTAGGACAAAGGACAGCAATCTTGTGAATAATTCTGGATGCTGTTGGAAGCCAGTTGAGTCATTTCTCCCACTTTTTAGACTATTCCCGGAGCTTGGTTTTGAGAGCGCTGTAAGTCAAGATGGTAATGTTCAGAAGGCAACAGTAACCATGTGAGATGACACAAAAAAATGAAAAGAGGGCTCCTTGAGCATTCGTCCGAGTATTCGAGAATACAGTCAGATGTCCACTTCTGCAACGACTATATTTGAGCACTTTACATAAAAGAGAAATGCAGTGGTCCATAGATAATTTTGAGTTAAAAAAGTACGCCCTGAACAATTTGCTTTGTGAGTGAAATACGAGGTGATTAAAAAAAACCAAAAACCCCAAAACTAAACAATTTTTGTTGGTAAATAATTGTTCCCACACTGTAGTTTCGCTGTTTAACTTGGTACACTACAATTGTGAGTCAGCTCTACAAAGCGTGTAAAAAACAACCTATTTTCAGCTGTTGCCATTTTGTAGCATGACGCTCTAGTTCCCAATTGGCCTACCGTTAAATGTCCCCACCATCGCGCCATATTGCAGCTACAGTAGTCTATCAAGCTAATAGAAGTTTGCAGATAGTTTTTCTCAAGTTTAATTTGCCTAATAAGATTATGGTTAAGATCAGTAACAAGCAGAGCTATTTGTATAGAAGATTTCCTCACTGCCAACTCATTTCGGTAGTTTCGCACAAGGTACGGTTACAATGTTGTGTTAAAGTCCCCTTAATGCCTTCTTTGATGTCAAGGGTGGAAATGGTCCATCAGTTAGGACCTGTAGAGAATCAGAACAAAACATTTCCAGACAAAATGGTCACTTCAGATTAAACACACACCGCTTGCTCCCCTTTAAACGTCACCAGGGTGCAGAATTCGGAAGATGAGTCCCGTGAGACACTTGTCCGTGGACGTTGTCTGCAGCAAAACTTTTGTTACATCTCAACGGTCCGCATTTTCAAAGAAGACCTTCATCTACGACTGTAGCATGTTCTAGTTTGCGAAGCTGACATGAATCAAAAGATATCAATGTGTTCATAATGCCTCGATCGTCTTGAAAGCTTGAGTATTCCTCTATGACATTTGATTCTTTGGCAAAGCCCATATTCACATTTCAGAATAATATGTTAACTCCACAAACGTCTATTGGGCAACCTCACCAGCCACCCTACTGTCTCTAGAGGTTACTACATACTGAGACGTGTACTGTGTGTGTAGCTTTGAGTACTCATGGTTGGGTGGAACTTTGTGTTTGGCCACCACTGAACATTACGAATGTCGCTTTAAAAAGTGACGAGTCCATAGGAGAACATAATAATAATAATAATGATAATAACAATAAT